AGAACCTGTGAAGTTGTTTTTCTTGGTTGAGAATTACTTCACGATTTTCCAGAGTTCCTAGTATTTCCTCCACATAGGGATTTGATTCATCTAGGTCAATTGATGTGGGGATTATAACTGTTTTACAGGAAGTTTTTAGTAAACTCTCATTGTATTCGATGATTTTCGTATTGAATACTCTATTTTTGTCGGATATATGCTTTAGGAATGTCGGATAATCATTTGTGGTCGGATCAAGAATAACGTTGAAGTCCGTTTGTGTGGGAGTCTCAGGTTGTAGGACCAGCTCAGGAGATAGAGGATTCGTTGGGTTTTCAGGTAAGATGACTACTTCGGGAGTTAGAGGGTGTGCCTGATTCTCAGGTAACAAGGGCGTTTCAGGTTGGAGAATTTCTCCAGGAGATTGGATGTTATCTAGATCAGGAGTACGACATTCCAATAGGACATCAGGATTTAATTCTTCAGACGGGAAAGAGACAGGTGATGTCAGCAAATCGAGTAGGTCCCTATCGAGATTCTCTGGTTGATTTAGTTCGCGTTGCTTTGGAACTAAATCTAGCTGATCTCCGCGGGTGGAGCTACTAGTAGGTTCGTATAATAAAACCAAACTGTAACTTGAACTAAGGTAATGTATTTCAATTAACTTCAATCGAACATAAACTATCACATCGGTTTTATACAGGTAAAAAAGTAACCCAACCATAGCGCGATTCAGGAAAGAGAAACAACGCCATCTATCGAAAACAGGTGTAGTTATTTTTTGAACTTCAATATAATTTCGAATGAATTTCGCTATGGTTTCGCAATGGTTATTGAGCTACCATACATCGTGAACATACCGCCCACCAAGGACATTTAGTGACAGAATGTCCTTTACAAAACAATGGTTCATTATAATTAAAAATGATACTTAATATCTAGATTGTTTTCCAGTCTAGCAACATCTGTTGGTCCAGCAAAGGCTGAACATGCGACCTTAAACATGTGAAAAGCATAAACTAGCAATTAAATGTAACAAAAGGTGTTCTCTTAAACTAAATAAAATATAAGAACAAAGTAACTAACATGTAAAATTTTTACAATTTAAATACAAAGAAATACAAGAAAAGAAATAGAAATACAATCAATTAGTCAGCCACAGGCAAAATGCATATTTTGCTTGTTGGCCTTTTAATAGTAGAGGCCTTCGTACGTAATGTGACCACACGAGTGACATTATCATGACCTGGGTGTTTTTCTAGTACGCGACCCAACAGCCAACGACTTGGAGGCAAGTCATCGTCTTTAATTAGGACAATGTCTCCAATTCTGGGTTCGGGTATGGCGGCAGTCCATTTGTATCTATTCATCATATTCGCAAGATATTCCTGGGACCAACGACTCCAGAATGATCGCAACATTCGTTGTACGAATTGCCACCTCGTCACGGAACTAATAGTAGAATTGTCGTGATTATAATCAGGTACATTAACCAGGGGTTCTCCAACCAAAAAATGCCCCGGGGTTAAAGGCATGGGCTCCCCAGGATCATCAGTAGTGATCACACTTATAGGACGCGAGTTCAGACAAGCCTCAACTTGTGTAAGGAACGTACTCAATTCCTCATATGTGAGTGTAGACTCACCAACGACGCGTTTAAGGTGGAATTTGGTAGACTTGACTCCCGCTTCCCACAGACCGCCAAAATTGGGCGCGTGAGGTGGAATGAAGTGCCATTCCGTGCCGTTAGCTTCTAAGTGCTCTGCAATCGCAGGTTGAGCCTTAGTTAATTCTTGGAGTTCTCTTGAGGCGCCCACAAACGTCGTGCCATTGTCACTCCAAAGTTTGGCAGTGTCCTCGCCTGGAAACAAAGCGCCTGAAGGCAGCTATAAATGCTTGTGAGCTCATGTCACTCACAACCTCTAAATGGATGGCACGGGTAGACATACAAACGAATACGCAGATATAGCCCTTGTATGCACGATGTCCACGACCCTTTGTCGTTCTGATATTGATAGGTCCAGCATAGTCAACCCCACTATGCAGAAAGGGCCTGGTTGGTGAACAGCGAACCGATGGAAGAGAACCCATCATAGGATTCTGTATTTGAGCTCGTTGCTTGGCGCATGTTACACATTTTCTAATGCATAGTTTTACTAATTGCCTTACTCCAATGATCCAGTAGGCTTTCCTCAAGTAATTCAACATTACTTGAGGACCACCGTGCAGTGTCTTGCGGTGTGCGTCTGCTACAAGGAGTTGGGTAAAATGTTCTGTTTTAGGCAGCACTATTGGATGCTTTATTTGCTCTTCCAGTGGTGCCTTTCCTATCCTACCTTGCGCCCTCAAAACGCCCTTATGATCAAGATAGGGGCATAGAGCTTTCAACTTACTACCTTTCATTTTTAAGTGACCTAGCTCTTGAACCTGTTTTAGTTCCTGTTCAAAGGTTTGTCCTTGTGTCACCCTTATGCAACATTCTAACGCTTCGTCTATTTCTTGATGCTTTAAATAGCCCTTATTTTTTTCTTTCTTCATGAACCGCCTACAATATGCAATGACTCTTAACAATCTTTGTAGCGTCGAAAATCTTTCGAAAAGTGAAGGTTCCGCAGCTGTTACCATGAGCGTCTTCACGGCATGCTCCAATTCAGTCTTAAAATTGTTTTAGAAGATCGTCTTCCCTAAACTGTGTATGCATGACCTGAATATTTTTGTATGTGTTATCTACATTGATCTTATTTGGACTATTCACAGATCCGGACAGGATCCAACCCAGAGCTGTGTTTTGTGCGATCAGAGTTCTAGATGGACTCTTTACCATGTCGTTTTTTAAGATTATACTGTATACTTCAGCTCCCAATAAAAGGTCGACCCTATTGGGTTGATCGAAGTGAGGATCCGCTAAATTTAATGCCGCTATAGATACCCAATTGAATGCACCTGTATCAATATGCTTATCAGGCAAGCTCGACGTTATTTTTTTTAGTACGTAGGCATTTAAATATAGCTTAAACTGGGGATCTACCCTTGATTGTACGTTCAATCGTACCATAGACCGTGCAACGACTGAACCACTACCTAACCCCGATACGACTCCGCGAACCGGTATCTTTTGCAGCCGTAGGTACTGTACTGTTGAATCTGTTATAAAACAGGCTTGAGAGCCCTGGTCAATCAACGCTCTTACCACTTGATAGTCACCTGTCTTGGACTCCGCCTTCACTAGTGCTGTAGCTAGTAAGACCTGTCGAGGCATGAGCATATTTTTAGATAAACAAGAAACTACCGTTGAACCACTATTTGGAGAATTAGTGTTATCTTGCTTAGATGAAAGACCATCGTCTCTGTGTGGAGCCTCATTTAAATGTAACAATGAATGGTGTCGTTTGTTGCACAGTTTGCAAGTGGTTTGCTTTTTGCAATTTGAAACCAGGTGATTACTGCCCATGCAATTAAAACATATTTTATGTTTTGCTACGAATTCGTGCCTGTTATTGACAGGTTGTTTGGCGAATTTCTTACAGTAACAAAGTTTGTGGTTTTCAGAACAGTATTCACATCGTACATGGCTTGAACTCACGGCTACTAATGCCTTTGAAGTGTATGACGTGTTGACCTGTGGAGCCATAACCCTTTTCGGTTCTATGCACTCTAGCGCGCGAAAACGAGTTTCAATAAAACTAGAGAATTGTTTAAAGGTGGGCAATTCGTTCGAGTCATTCCCACTTACATGTAATTCCCACTGCTTGCGTGTCTCAGAATCGAGCTTAAAGGTCACGATATGTATAATAATGACGTCCCAAGTGGTCACATTGACGTCTAAGTTTGCCAGTGCACTGAGACAATCATTCGTCGTGTCGAGCATTTCTTTTAATGAAGTCGCTGATTCAACGTGCATACGTTTTTGGGCAAAGAAACGTTTCAGAATGCAATTGACCAAGTATTTTTTATTACTGTACCGTTTCTCTAACTGTGACCAGCACTGAACATAGTTTGAATCGCTCACTGGTGTGTGCCTCACCAATTGTTCGGCTTCACCGATGAGGTGACTCTTTAAATAGTGCATCTTTTGTACATTGTCTAAGCTCGAGTTGTTATGCACAAGTGACGTGAACAAATCCCGAAATGTTGTCCATTCGCCATATTTACCGCTAAAATTAGGTATTGTAATTTTCGGTAATTTTGCGAGATTCGTTTTGGATGCACCACTCTTATCATGACATGTATCAGCTTGTTTTTCATAAGCAAATTTCTTTAACAAAGATAACATTAAACTTTTATGAGTGACATAGGTGTCCTCTGTACTATCATATATTTCTATAAGCACATCCTCTTGAACCGAATATTTTTCTCTCATTTTAGTGTAATTTTCTTTAAAGAGGTCCCAATTCTTTTGTAACAATTCTTGTTTAATTTCTATAAATTCAAGCGTTAGTCTGTCTTTGGGACTCTTTTTAAAATTAATAAAACCCCTATCTATTACCTTTTGCAGGTCTTTTAGAACATTAAGTAGACCTTCCATGTTAAACACAGAGTAAAAATAAACAAATATAAACAAGTTATCAGTTCTGATTGCTAATAGATTAGCTATATACTCCAACTGTGGAGTAGCAAACAGTCAAGAAAGGGTAAAAATCTTAAAATTTTACAAGTGTTTGGGAATAAAATGTTTTACTATCGGCGAAGATCCGGCATGGATTCCCCGTTCCCCCGTTTTTTATAAATTATACTAAGTCCTAAAACTAACATGCAATTCTTACAAATAAGTTTAAAGTATAGTACATAATAATTCAAAGTCCTCTCTCTTGATATAAAATTGTTGAGACCTTCAGATATTAAAATAATACTAAGTTAAAATGTTTTCAGATATAAAGTTTAAATTTGCTTGATCATTAACCACTATTAATGACGTGAATTGTACTCACAGTTGCACTTCACAAATACTTCACATGTATTGTTGATACCGGTGGCGCCCTCTGTAGGCCTTTGATGTAAGCTCTCTGCGTCTGATTTGGTCATCAACCAATTGTCCAGCCACTGTGTACTGCTTGCTGCTTGTCTTCGCCGTAAACTCGCACCTCGGTCGTAGCTTGGTGGAGATCGCCCTCTATGGAGCGTCTCAAAACTCGACCTCGTACTCTGTTTGCGCAGCGATCCACTGCGAGTACTGAGGGACGGTCTAACAAGACCGTTGAACTAGAAAAAAAGCCTAAGGAGCACGTGCGGCTCAGAAGGACCAATGATTTAGTTCGCGTTGCTTTGGAACTAAATCTAGCTGATCTCCGCGGGTGGAGCTACTAGTAGGTTCGTATAATAAAACCAAACTGTAACTTGAACTAAGGTAATGTATTTCAATTAACTTCAATCGAACATAAACTATCACATCGGTTTTATACAGGTAAAAAAGTAACCCAACCATAGCGCGATTCAGGAAAGAGAAACAACGCCATCTATCGAAAACAGGTGTAGTTATTTTTTGAACTTCAATATAATTTCGAATGAATTTCGCTATGGTTTCGCAATGGTTATTGAGCTACCATACATCGTGAACACTGGTTCACTAAGGGATTTTTCTAGTTGTTCGGCAGAAATGCCGGGATTCTGATTGTCGAGTTTGCTAGTGTTACTACTAGTTGGCTGGATAGGATTGACTGGAAACCTGGATAGAGCATCGGGCATCTGCGTTTGAATTTATATTACCCTTTTTGTATTGAATGTTTTATTCGAATTCTTCAAGTTTTAGTCGCCAACGAATTAGGCGGGATCCAGGATCTTTACAATTGAACAACCACTGAAGGGGTTTGTGGTCAGTCAAAATAGTAAAACGGTGACCGTATAAATAGGGGCGGAAAGTCTTCGTGCCGAACACTATTGCCAGGCATTCTTTCTCTGTAGTGCTGTAGTTGCATTCCGCTTTATTCAGGGTACGAGAAGCTTATGCTATTGGTCGGTCGTGTCCCATGGGACCTTGGGACAAGATGGCTGATATGGCATAATTAGAAGCGTCACAAGTTAAAAGGAAGGGCTGACTAAAGTCGGGATATGCTAGGATATAGCATAGGAATTTGGTTTTAAGAGCTTCGAAGTTGAGCTGCTGTTCGTTTGTCCAGTTAAAAGGAACGTCTTTTTTGAGAAGGGATATTAAGGACTTTGCAAGTTTTGAGAAGTCGGGAATAAAACGTCTGTAATACGAAACTAGCCCTAGGAAGGACTTAATGTCTCTAGGGGATTTAGGGACTGGATAATGTGTTACGGCCTTAACTGTATCCGGATTGGGTTTCACACCATATTGAGTAATGATATGGCCTAGATAGGTGACTTCTTTCCGTAAAAATTCGCACTTTTCCGGCTGGAGTTTTAAATTGAATTCTCTGAGTCTTTCGAAGACATCTTTAAGGTTCATAATGGCCTGTTTTAAATCGAAAGCGTACAATACGATGTCGTCTAAATAGACAAAGCACTGTGAGCCTTGAAGCCCAGTAAGACATGTATTCATAAGTTTCTGGAAAGTAGCTGGGGCATTCTTAAGCCCAAAAGGCATTCGATTAAATTGAAAATGTCCCTGCGGGACTGAGAAAGCAGTTTTAGGTGCGTCTTCCGGCGCTACCTTAAGTTGGTGAAAACCGGATGATAGGTCAAGCGTGGTAAAGTACTGGCTCTTTCCTAACTGGTCAAGGATCTCAGTTATCTGAGGAATAGGGTAAACTTCTCCAATAGTGTCGTCGTTTAATTTGCGGTAGTCAATGACTATCCGCCATTTCCTTTGGCCAGATGCATCAGCTTTCTTGGGTACTACCCATATGGGGGAAGACCAAGGAGATGACGATGGAGTAATAATATTTTGGTCTAACATCTTGTTTATTTGTGTAGCCACTTCTTGTTTGTGGCATTCTGGAAATCGGTAAGATTTAGTATGGATTGGTGTATCACTAGTTGTCTTTATTCTATGTTGGATGGCAGGTGAGAAAGATAGTGTCTCATCTGGTAGATGGAAAATGTCGGAGTAGTCGGAACATATGGTGAGAAGAGCCTCTCTTTCTTCTTGATTTAAGTGGGACGTTCTTAGTAAGCTGAGAACCCTGTCTGTGCGTTCAGTAACACAGACATTGTGAATACGCGCAGGTGATTGTATAGGGTATGTTCCTATGGGATCTAATTTAAGGTTAAGAGTTCGTTTGATTGAAATTGATTTGTGAGAGGTATTAATAATTTTAATTAATAATATTAATTCATTTCCTATAATACCATCGTAAGGTAGATGGATGTCTTTGATGACGTGAAATTTGTGATTAATGAATCTCTTGTCAGAGATTTTAAATTTCAGGATGAAATGACCTAAGTTTTGGGTGGTTTCTTCACCTGGATCAATACCCTTAATTCTAATAGACTGTTTGGTTAGGGTTGGCTGTAGTAGAACACTGGATTGTTTTAACAAACAAATTGCAGAACCTGAGTCTACAAGTAAAGTCAGTGGAATATTAGATGCAGTTGATTCCACTAGCACATGAAGTAGTAGCCGCTTGGAAGTGTCAATGTTGACTTCGTAAATCTCATTGAGATCAGATGCCTTTGAGGCTTTAATATTTTTTGGATCGAGGTTGCCGTTTTGGGGCTGGTTACCCTGATGTATAACCTCTTTGGGTGTTACTAATACCTTAGTAACTTTAGGATCGAGGTTGCCGTTTTGGGGCTGGTTACCCTGATGTATAACCTCTTTGGGTGTTACTAACACTTTAGTAACTTTGGGATTGAAGTTGCCGCTTTGGGGCTGGTTACCCTGATGTATAACCACTTTGGGTGTTACTAACACCTTAGTAACTTTAGGATCGAGGTTGCCGTTTTGGGGCTGGTTACCCTGATGTATAACCTCTTTGGGTGTTACTAACACTTTAGTAACTTTGGGATTGAGGTTGCCGTTTTGGGGCTGGTTACCCTGATGTATAACCTCTTTGGGTGTTACTAACACCTTAGTAACTTTAGGATCGAGGTTGCCGTTTTGGGGCTGGTTACCCTGATGTATAATCTCTTTGGGTGTTACTAACACTTTAGTAACTTTGGGATTGAAGGGGTTTACCTTTTTAAGGTATGTGCCGTCTTTGAACCGGCGTCCTGAGCGGCACGGTTCCAGGACGTTTATTGGTTTAAATTTTCATTTTGAGGATCTTCGCATTCCGATTCGTTAGCGACGTCACAGTCGTTGTCGACAAAATTGATTTGCTTAGAATAAGAAGAGGGCCCAGAAGGTTTATTTTGGCCTTCGGGTGAGTATTGGGAAGCATAGTAACGTTTATTCGCGGCCTGTCGCCTTTGACAATTATTTATTTCGTGACCTACTTCTTTGCAGTAACGGCACGTAAGATTGTAACTGGTTTTACCATGATTAGCAGAGTTCGACTGAGACATCGGTTTTTGCTGGAATTTATTACTCGTATTAGGATTCTGAGAGAAGGGTTTAGGTTTGAACCGGGTTTGGTTATTATGTTTATCCTGTTGCGAGTTGCTATAGCTACTACCACGTCTGTAGAGGGTTTCTTGGATGCGCTCCTCGGAAATGGCAAGATTTACGGCTTCATTGAACGTTTTTGGTGCCCTACACCTAACTATATTCGATATACGAGGATGTAGTCCCATGAGGAAGTGGTGGAGGGTCAGATCCTCCATTGCTGCAGTGTGACCTGGGATTTCTTTAGCTTTATGGCTGGAGAGTGATATTTCTGTGAGTAATTGAGATAGGCATGTCTCCATCCTCAAGGCAAATTGTCCTACATTTTCATTGGGGGCTTGTTTACTTTCCTGAAGGTCAGTTAACAAGTGTGTGTAATGTTTTCTTTCAGAAAACTGTGTTTTTAAGAATTCTTTGAGTTGTTCCCAGGATGTGAAATCTTTGATAGAACAGGCAGTTTCTGCTTTGTCCGTTAATTGACATAAAATGTATTTGAACAGAATAGGTTTTTGAGTTTCAGACGCAAGGTCGTAGGCGTTGTTACAATTTGTTATGAAAGAATTGAGTTTTTCGCGACTTCCGTCATATTGTTTAACGAATTTCAATAAAATGTTTAATTCCATTTCGGAAGATCTCTTCGTAAATCTAGGCGATAATATAGGGGATTTTGCTTCTGGATTGTCAAGATCTGGGATTTCAATGTTAAATTTTACGTCTTCAGTTTTGGACACTTTAGGCATAATAAGAAAAAGATGTACGAAAACAAAACATATGTGGTCGAATTAAAACTACTAAGACGTTAGAGTTCACTATAACAAAGGTTTGATAAGACTCACAGGAACATGTAGGCGGCGATAAGAGCTAGCTCTCGGACCAACAGCATAGCGATGCCACACAGAAGTATCACGCACAATGATTTTAGGTTTTCACTTTCACACCACTTTTGGGCACAGTTTTATGTTGGATATATGCACATATATATTTTTCACAGGATGCAGGCACTTCGTAAAACACTCGCGAGTCACGGATGTCGTAATTTAGCAGCACTAAAGCAGGATGTGTAAGGACACGGACAACGACTAGGAGTACTCGCAGGCTTCACGTAAGTATACCATTCACAGGAGGTTTCCAGGGCGTGTTCAGGGTGTTCACTAGTCACAAATGACATCACTTCCCTTCGCGGCACCGTGCGACTAACGTGTGACTTCATGTGCTAACAATTTAAATATTGTTTTCTGTTTTTCTGCGACTAGTTTCCGGCTTGCGGGCGGCTAAAGGTTGTGTATAGTGTTTTAAAGAAAGTCAGTAAGTTTTTATTGTTTTTAAACAGTAATATAGTGCTGAATTATTTTATTACTACTATTGGTGAGTAAATTTATTTTCTTTCTAAAAGTGGGTAGGAGGTGTCCTTTGTTTATATTGATTTTTCTCTGCGTGTTATTTATTTTTAAACCTGTTCCTTTTGAAATTGTTGTTTGGTGTGTCTTTGTTTGGCTATGTCGGTCGTTAGCGAGTTGCCGGACCCCGGCGGTACAAGTGAATTTCTAACACCAACCGGGAAAAGGACATTTATCGAAATGTCACCTACGGGTTTCTCGCCGAAAGACAGTAGCCGTAGGCGCGTTATTAATTCGGACTTAAGTGGTAATGTTTCGTCTCCTACTGGTCGTGATAACTGTGGGGAGTACAACTACTGTGACTTAGTATCACAGGCCACTGATTATTTGGCAAAAATTAATGAATTAGTTAATGATCAGGGATCTCGGATGAATGTAGGTAATAAAACGGCGATTATGGATATAACTCAACGAATTACCGGTATCGTATCTTTGTTAGCAATAAAATCCTCTAGCAACGAAACGAAGTTAGCGAATTTTGAGCGACAAATGGAGGGTATCGCAACTCAACAAACGAGTTTAACGTACGCGGACAAACTTAAGCTTCGATTACCACCTAAATCTGCTCCGTGCCCGGTACCTACTGAAGCGCGCGTTCCTAGGCCTTGTGTCATTGCCTATCCCACTACGGAACGCTTAGCGGACTATGCGACCTCGTCAGCAACAAAACAAGCTCTCATGAAGGCTATTAAACCGAGCGATGAGGGATTTCAAATTGTAGGCGTTAAAAAAACCTCTAAGGCAGGCGTCGTGTTACGTGTAGCTAACGAACGGCAGCTTAAGAAACTGGAATCTGTGGACGCCATTAAATCAGTAGGGTTGCGCTTAGAAAAACCGAAAGGCCGTAGGCCCCGTATAATTGTAAAAGACGTACCCGGTTCTATGGAAGATCGTGCCTTCCTAACAGCCTTATACCGTCAGAATATCAAGGACGAATTAAAATTAAGTGAGAACGATTTTATTAAGTCAACCAAAATTGTTAGGCATCGTAAACTAGAAAATGGGCGTCAATGGATAGGCTTAGAATTAGAGGCAGCAGTTCGGAAACATCTAGCCAACACAAAAGATAAACTTTATATAGACTGGGCCACATGTAGATTCATAGACGATATAGAAGTAGTTCGTTGCTTAAATTGTCAGCAATTCGGTCATGTACAAAAGTTTTGCACCATAAAAACCCCTACTTGTGCTAATTGCGCCGCCGCACACGAAACGCGAGCTTGTCCAGATAAAGACACACCAGATTTTAAGCCCACGTGCGCACAGTGTAAGCGGTTCAAAAAACCATCTGACCATCGATGCGGCTCATACGACTGTGCCACATACAAATTAAAACTGGAACAGCTAATATTAAATACCAATTACTGAATAGTTTAACTTAGTTTAAAAAAAAAAAAAAAAAGTTAAAAGAGTAACTTACTAAGTAATGAATAATATTTCGATAGGCCAGTTAAATCTTCATAACGATAAAATAGCTACATCAGAATTAGACCGTTTAATTTTAGAACAAAAGTTAGACATTGTCCTTTTACAAGAACAATATCAGAGCGCTCACTTGCGTCGTCATGTAGTACAGCTTGACTGCCGTTCGCAGGCTGGGATATATGTTGCAAGTTCTAATTTTACGGTAACATCTTTGCGTAATCTTATGACGTCACACTGCGCCGTTGCTGAGATCTCATCCTCTACCTGTAAGGTTTACGTAGTGAGCTGCTATTTTCAATATTCACATCCTATTGATCCTCACTTACATCACTTACGTTACGTCTTGCAGTTCCTCGTGGGACATAAAATTATCATTGGCGCTGATGTCAATGCGTCATCTTCATTATGGTATGGCAAGTTGCGTTCAACCGACACGGTTCGACGTTGTGCGGTTGAAGATTTCATTGCGGAAATGAATCTTATTATTCACAATACCCCCGATGCACCACCAACTTTTTGCAACCCAATGGGTGAGTCTTCTATTGACGTGACGCTTACGCGCGGCGACGTCTCGATATCCGGATGGCGTGTCCTTCCGGACGCATCCTGTAGTGATCACCGCTTGATCGTGTACGAATTCATACCAAGGGTTGCACAGGATCCACAAAGGGCTCCCTATAATTTTAGATATAAAACTAAAGGTGCGAACTGGGCTTTGTTTGGTTCACTCTTTGCAACTCATACCAAAGACTTCAGTCGCAGTAGTTTATCAGCTGAGGAAAGCGCAGAAATACTATCAGAAACTTTTACATACTGCGCTGATGTAACTATTGGTCGCGGATCTATCACTAACACTCGTAGATGTGATTGGTGGAATGATAGATTAGCCGAACTACGTAGAAGCTACCGGAAAGCTCGTAGAAAATTAAACACTATTAAAAAACATAACGTAACAGGAGATTTGTACAACAATGCTCTCATTGCTCTTAGAGTTGCCAGGTCCCACTACAGAGCTGCTGTGGAAAAATCCAAGGGAAACTTAATTCAGAAACTTGTTGATAAACTCGATAGAGAGGGCCCGTGGTCACCTTTGTATCACGAATTTAAGGCAAATAGATCAATCGACCTTGCATACATACAGAACATCAAAATTAATAACAGATATACCACAGGAGTAGAACAAACAGCAGAATATCTTTTAGACTCACTCGTACCTGACGATCGACCGGAAAACGACACTGATCATCACCGACAGATCAGGCAGTGGGCCATCGAACCACCACTGTCTCCAATGTCTGATTTACCATCTTCAGACGAATTTCTCAGTATCATTAGATCCTTGCCGCTAAACAAGGCTTCGGGCGATGATAAAATATCTAACAAAATGATAAAAGAAGCTTGTAAACTTTCGGGTGACACGATTTTCACTGTCTTTAAACGTTGCATTGCTGAAGGAATATTTCCTCGTATATGGCGGTGCGGTAATATTCGTATAATACCAAAAAGTGGCGACAAGCCACCGGATGATCCTAAATCCTACCGACCAATCACATTATTACCATCGTTAGGAAAGCTTTTAGAACGTCTTGTAGTGCCCCGGCTTCTGCCAGGTGGAGTCAAATTTCATGATAGACAATTTGGATTTACGTTGGGTAAATCGACAACTGACGCTGTTATATCGGTTAGAAAGTTTGTCACAGAGTCAACATTTCAATACGTGCTGGCTATTTTCTTAGATATATCTGGCGCCTTCGACAACGCATGGTGGCCCATGCTGTTGCTGAAATTAAAATCACGGGGGTGCTTTAAAAATATTTATTCCCTTATCTCTTCGTACTTTTCACAAGGTACAACTAAACTAAGACTTGGTCATCATTCTGTGTCGAAGGCGCTTACAATGGGATGTCCTCAGGGATCGGTGCTAGGTCCATACTTGTGGAATATCGGCTTCGACGATTTTCTTGCGATACCAATACCATCCGGATGTACTCTGAACGCGTATGCTGATGACGGCTTATTACTGGTGGAATCTGATACTAGGGCGGGGCTTGAGAGATTAGCCAATAGATGTTTGAACTTGATATCTCAATGGGGTGAACGTAATCGCTTAACTTTTGCACCCAACAAAACCTTCCAGC